TGCTACCGTACAATTAATGTCCAATACAGTTTTTCACCGTATATAGTAGGGGAATTTACCATTAACCATTTAGCAGGTTTTTACTGTAGCATTTTTACAGTCTTTTACCGTTAAATTCACGGTCATTTCTTACAGTTACATCGTGTACTAAGACCGATGGATGTACCTACAGAAGAGTCAAGTTTTAAATAGGAAAAATGTAGAAACTCTTTGGTAATTTTTGAGCGAGATGCTAACGGTTTATTACGAGTTAAACTAAATGAAAATTAGAAATTGGTCCTATATATTTCCTATGCATTTTATTTGAAGTATTTTTAAATTGTTCTAGTTGTAGTTAACGCTAATACGTATTTATTTTATTTTTTATTAATTTAATTTTAGTTACAAGTTTTACTCATTTTGTGTGTTCTTGTAATTTTTATTAATATGTATGTGTTTATGTATATGTATGTATGCATGTATATACATATGTATAGTTTTACTTGTAGCTAACTATGATAACCATAAGTATTTATATATTTAATGTTATGGTGGTTAATATGACTGTGTTCTTGGACTTTACAATTACTATATGCAAGGTATATATATAATATACTATATATAATGTAGAAATAATCTATTCAAATACCCTATTAATAGTCACCACCCATGATTGATCTGAAAGTGTTTAATTATCAGGAGGATTACTGAAATAAAGTGAGTATTGTTCAGCTGCTGGTGACTGATGTGACTGCAGTCTAGTGCAAGCAGCGTTTCAGAGTTTGTGCTGCCATCCAGTGCTGGAAGAACTCAAACACAAGTCTAAAATTAAATAGGAAAACACAGTTTCTTATTCTAAAATACAGAAACATATGTCCAAATACCGATTAAAATTTTTTTTTAAAAAGTCTGGAATGTTTCTGATGTCAAATTTCAGCTTCCTCATTTCCAAAATATTTTCTGACATTAATATTATTTTTTCCCATTGTTGGCAAATCCGATAATCCGATTTACTTGATAAATGTAATACTACTTTGTGTAATTTATTCTGAATGGATAATACTTTACACTTAATTTAGGTAAATGTCGCATTCATAATGTGATGTGTTTTAAATTCAAACCTAGCGCAATAGATTATTTGCAGCTCGGTCATGTTCATTTCATAAAATATAAGAAGAAAACAACAGAATTTGTTTGTTTTAGTTTTTCTTTATTATGAAAATAAATAATAATAACAATAATAATAATAATAATAATAAATAACGTAATGATAATAATTAACATAGCAATAAATACAATAATAATAAACATAATAGTAATAAACATAATAATAACATTAACATAACAATAATAATAAACATAATAAACAATAATGATAATTAATAATAATAATAATTATAACATAATACTGATAATAATAATAATAATAATAAATAATAATGATAATAATAATAATAATAAACATAATAAACAATAATGATAATAATAATAATAATTATTATAACATAATACCGATAATAATAATAAACAACAATAATAAACATAATAATAATAATAATAAACATACACCTAATAATAAACATCATAATAATAAATATAATAATAAACATAAACATATACCTAATAATAAACATAATAATAATAATAATAAACATAATAGTAATAAACATAATAATGATAATAATAAACATAAATATAATAATGATAAACATAATAATTATAATAATAATAAACATAAACATAATAATGATAAACATAATAATGATAATAATGATAATGATAATAATAAACATAATAATGATAATAATAAACATAAATATAATAATGATAAACATAATAATTATAATAATAATAAACATAAACATAATAATGATAAACATAATAATGATAATAATGATAATGATAATAATAAACATAATAATGATAATAATAATAACAAACGTGTAATTAAAATATAATAAAAGCAACGGCCCGCCCTCATCCCCGTGCGTCATCTCACTGTGCCGCAGTGTCGGTTCTCCGGTGATTCGGGAGGAGGATGATTGCAGCGGCGGTTCTGCGCGGGGTCGGTTTCGGGAGCGTCTTCACAGGCACAGAAGCACAGTCTGAGAATCTCGATGAGCTTCGACTGATTTGATGATTTTTGTTTGATTATTGCGTGCGTTTGTGTTTGCCCTTGTAATGACCCACATCTCATCTCAACAATTATTGTTTATACATACAGTAGATACAGTAATAGCAGTGCTGGGGAGCAACTAGTTACATGTAACGGCGTTACATAATTTAATTACAAAATAAATGTAACTGTAATCTGTTACAGTTGCTGAGACAAAAAAAGTAATTAAATTACAGTTACTTATGAAAATGTTAATGCTTACAAAGGGGGTTACATCTGAATACTTATTGTATTAATATTTACTATTGCTTGTTATGATTTTAAATCTGTATTTAACCTCAGAACAATCTGCAAAAGTCTGATGGTGGCTGTGCTTTAAAATTAAATTATTAAAATCTTAATTAAAGTGAAGAAGGATTCTGAAAGCACTACTGTAAGGTTATAACCCTGCCTGCTTTAAATCTTTAAAAATAATTAAGAGTTGAAAACATTTGTTAGAAATGTAGAAAAGTAATCCAATGTAATCAGTTACATTACTTTATTCAAGTAACTGAAATAGTTACACTGCTTGTTACATTTTAAATAGGGCTTGTAATCTGTAAACATTTCCAGAGTAACCTTCCCAACACTGAGTGATAGGGATGTAACGATTATATTGATTCAAATATGTGACGATTCAACTCGGTTGAGATGCTAAACAAATCGCGATTCATTTAGGGGTAAGAGTTTATATGAATGTATGTCTGAGGGGAACTTACTGTCTTTAGATGGTATTATTTTCTTTTCATCTTGCCTCTGTATAATGCATATTAAAGTTCATAAGCGCAGTGCTGCTTTGTTTACAGCGGTAACCAACGAAACAGAAATAAATTACAGTTTAACAGATATTCACATAGAAAACATTTATTTTAAATGGTAATAATATTTTACAATATTACTGACCTCTTTAAAACACACTGAAAATCTTACTGATCCCAAACCTTTGAGTATCTCACTGATGCAGCAGTGTGTGTTAAAGCCTGCAGTGGCGCCGGAGCGCCTGTGAGCGGCAGCAGCGCGCAGAGTCCGCGGAAGTGACGTCAGGCGAAGAAGAATCTCTGTTTACAGCTGTGTTTAAACTCTGTTAGCATGAGCTCCGACACTGTGATTTAAGACATGATTTCGCGTTTAAGGCTTCTTTCTGAAACACCGACATGAGCGACGCGATGGAGAGCCGAGAGCAGGGAACTCTTCTGTCTTCAGCCGCGATGAAGGTGATTTTCATTCATTTTTAGCTCGGTCCGGTCATCTGTTGTGTTCTTAAACTCCATTAAAGCACTCGATTACATGAAGATCATGCATTCAGGAAGAGAATTACGCTATAGGAAAACTCTATTAGCAGCTGCCATCTGTGTTTCAGTCTAATCTCATGTTTGAACAATGAGTTCAGTGAAACATTTGATGAGTTCAGAGAAAGTGTTTTTTCATCAACAACAACATTTTTGATGCATTTCAATCAGGCTTTAGAAAATTTCACTCCACTGAGACGGCTCCTTTAAAAGTGTTCAATGATATACTTTTAGCTACCGACTCTGGAGATTCTGTAGCTCTGGTACTTTTAGACTTGAGCGCTGCTTTTGACACGACCACAATGTTCTTCTGGCCCACTTAGAACTGGTAGTGGGCATTAGAGTTCAGCTTTAAATTGGTTCCAGTCTTACGAACAGAAGGTTCTCAGTTAATATTGGCAAGTTTCACTCTTCCTCTGTACCTTTGACCGGTGGGGTCCCTCAAGGCTCTATTCTAGCGCCCATGTTATTTTCCTTGTAAATGCTTCCCCTCGGATCTATCTTTGAGAAGTATGGTATAAGTTATCATTGTTACGCAGATGACACACAAATATATATTCCTTTTAAACATAAGAATGGATTAGACCCGGTGGCCGCCTGCCTCGTGGATGTTAAAGCATGGATGTCTCAATTTTTTAAGTCTGAATGAGAGTAAAACAGAGATTGTGGTGTTTACCCCTTCGGATACACACTGTGTACCAAGTCTAAATCTTGGTGTTCTGGCACCTTATGTGAAAAACCTGGGTGTGGTGTTGGACAGTGCCTTAAAGCTTGATAGACAAGTCAATCAAGTTGTGAAGTCAAGCTTCTATCAGTTGTGAACCCTGCTAAAAATGAAGTCCTTTCTAGAACCAGACTCAAGTCTAGGGGTTCGCCGTAGCTGCTCCGAGACTTTTGAATAATCTTCCTGCAGAAATCAGAACTGCCCCTACACTATCCATTTTTAAATCCAGGTTAAAAACCAGGTTTTTATTTGATCTGGCTTATTATTCGTGATTTGCATTTGCTCTGCCCTGTGTCTTGCAGTTTTATTTGTGACCTTGTCTTTGTTTTTAATTTTGTCTGTGGTTACTCACATTGTACGGCACACTGGTCAACGGTAGTTGTGTTTAGCTGTGCTTTATAAATAAATTTAAATTGAATTGAGTATATGTCTCTGAGTGATCATTAATGTGTGTTGAATCATGAGCAGATGAGATATGGTTTGATTTTATAATAGGAAGTTTTTATTAGCCAGATAAGTTGCTAATCTGCACCAAAAGTATGCATGCTATGTCAAATTATAATGAAATCACACACACACACACTCTCTCTCTCTCACACACACACTCACACACACTCACACTCTCTCACACACACACACACACACTCACTCTCACACACACACACACAATAATAAAGAGATGTTTTATTCTGTTTATGCACAGAATATAAAATATATTACAAATACACTACCAGTCAAAAGTTCTTGAACAGTAAGATTTGTAATGTTTTTTAAAGAAGTCTCTTCTGCTCACCAAGCCTGCATTTATTTGATCCAAAATACAGCAAAAGCAGTAATATTGTGAAATATTATTACAATATAACACAGCTGTTTCTATGTGAGTATCTGTTAAACTGTAATGTATTTCTGTGATGCGCAGCTGTATTTTCAGCATCATTACTCCAGTCTTCAGTGTCACATGATCTTCAGAAATCATTCTAATAAGCTGAATTTTCAGCATCATTACTCCAGTCTTCAGTGTCACATGATCTTCAGAAATCATTCTAATATGCTGATTTGCTGCTCAAGAAACATTTATTATTATTAATATTTAAAACAGTTGAGTATATATATTTTTTAATTACTTTTTGTAACATTATACACTATACTATTCAAAAGCTTGGAGTCAGTATAATATTTTATCTTATTTTATTTTATTTATTTTTTTTAGGAAAGAAATTATAGAAATTAATACTTTTAGCAAGGATGCTTTAAATTGATCAAAAGTGATGATAAAGACATTTATAATGTTACAAAAGTTTTCTATTTCAGATAAATGCGGTTCTTCTGGACTTTCTATTCATCAAAGAAACCTGACAAAAATATACTCAACTGTTTTAAATATTAATAATAATGAGAAATGTTTCTTGAGCAGCAAATCAGCATATTAGAATGATTTCTGAAGATCATGTGACACTGAAGACTGGAGTAATGATGCTGAAAATACAGTTTTGATCACAGAAATAAATTACAGTTTAACAGATATTCACACAGAAAACAGCTGTTTTAAATAGTAAAAATATTTCAGTTTTTTCTGTATTTTAGATCAAATAAATGCAGGCTTGGTGAGCAGAAGAGACTCCTTTAAAAAAACATTAAGAATCTTGTGGTGTATATAGTGTGTGTGACAGTATAAGTAGGTTAAGAATGCAATTATTATATGATAGCAATAGCGTATGATGTGACATCTACCTTTTATTTGTCACCATGAATACAATGTTTAATCATTAGAGAGCTGAAATCAGTGACCAGCCACAAGCGGTGGAGAAGAGAGGGCCGTATATCATGTCCAAAGCTCCTGCTTTCCACACCAAGCTCCGTAAGTACTGCGAGTTCGGATCACTCGTTTGCTCTAAACTTGTGTGGTAACCTGCTTGTATTGAAACAGAAACTGTGTTTGCAGAGAAGCACAGAGACACGGCCAGACGAGCTCTGCAGAAGAGAGGACTGGGCTCAGGGAGGCTTGTGCTTCATCAGCCACGACACAAACCAAAGACGTGAGTCTCTCGAGGGATGACGAGGATGACGCCATCATTTTCAGGGAGCTTAAAAACATGCAAACACAGATATTCACATTTATGCATTCATGCATTTGGCAGATGCTTCCATGCATTGCATTTAAGGGATGCATTTTTATTATTATTTTTTTTTAATCAGTGCAATTAGTGTGAATTTATAGATCCATGAAACTGCATATCAGGGTTATTATCGTTGACTAAAACCAAAACCATAAAAAAAAACATTTTCATTACTTGAAAGAAAATAAACATTAACTGAAATAGAAAAAAAAAACTTAATTCTATTTCAGCAAGTTCCCAAGGCAACATTTCTCATTTTGGTTTAGTTTAAATTAAAGTACTAAAACTTAAAACTAAATAAAAAGTGTATATACATACTTTTATATATATA